TAATTGAACGAACAAGATACTTAAAAATTTTGGCAGTCCCCGGCAACGGCGCCAAAAACTTGACCGGTAAATTAGCAAGTGTACTAATTGTTCCGATGTAGTAATAATAGGGATTTTTCCCAGTATCGATCTCTGAGGACTGCGTGTAAATTTTAAGTACAAATGTTCTTTCAATTAAACAAAATAACCTTGGGTTCTGTTTGGGGTTGCCAAAAGGAAAAAGCAGAATGATAAAATTATTTTAACAATTAAGAGAAAACATGTTAGGGGAAGTGTATGAATTGCGTATAGCGAACCCTAGAGTAAACAAATAAAACTTCTCACAAGACCTTAATTTTTATTTCCTCTCAAAAGTGTTTTTCTTAAATTCCTTAACTGAAAAACCTTTGATACTCTTCCTTGACCCTAATTCCTTAGCAGTCAAGGAAAGACATCAAGCAATAGTTCTGACAAAGGGTTTTTTACAATCATTACAGGATATCCCTATTCCTAGGAAATATTCATTGTAATGTGTTATGCAAAGTGTTCGATCGTTTTTCAGGCCAAATCCCTAATCGTAAATTGTTCCCAATTTATACGATCTTTAAAAGTTTAAACGAATTGCATAATAAAAAATATTAAGGAATGAAACAAAATCTCATTAAGGAATGCAACAGAGGTTCATTACAACACAATTCAGGGACACTCCCCTAGCAATGGGGTTTTTAGTTATTCATAGTATTCGATAAAAACAACATGACAAATAGAAACATTACAAGATTTAGGGAGTAAATTCGATCTTCAATTTCTTCTGAGCATGAAAATCTCCTTGTCCTCCCAATTCTTCAGAGCTTCAATCTTCCGTTGTATTTTCTTTGTACAATCCAAAGTCCTTTTTCCTTTCTCCAAACACGTATCAAATAGTCTCAATTCAAACTCAGCACTAGGGAAATACCCACAATACCCTCGGGGATCACAAAAGTCAAAAATACAAGACAAATAGGGAATAAAGCGCTTCAACCAACACGAGTCGTGTCATGCAACACGGGCGGCCGTGTTGGCTTCCTGATAAATAAACACGTGAAATTTTCAAGTCTCAGGTGTCCTGACACGGGTCATGTCGTGTGACACGGGCGGCCGTGTCAGGCCACTGTTTTCCACTAAAAATCACCTCTTCTGAGCACATCCTGACACGGTTCGTGTCACACCACACGGGCACCCGTGTCAGGCCCCTGGTCCACTTCAAACTCTTCCAACTTCTTGCCTCTGGTGCCAGAGGATATAAAGACATTTCCAGAGGTAACATTTCAGCTATAGGGTGAATATTAAACGCACATGTTCTCAATGCTACATACTTCAACTCAACACCACAAAATAGCTCACTCTCTTCTTGGGGACACTTTCTAAATGAACCTACTTCCTTAATGAAACATATACTTGAACTGGTATCAAAACTTATGCTTCAATATTCCTTACTTCATTACTAATAACAAGGACTTTACATTATCTTATTTAGGTTGGCCAAAAGCCCAACATGACAAACCCAATATATCACTCAAATCCAATCAAAGTTCCACTCTTACTGATGTACATTCGGATATCGGCTTTGGGGAAGCACATAAATGTGTGCCTCTTATTTTTGTATCCGCATTTTATATGCACTCAAATGTCCTCCACATCCCACGTCGAATCAACCAGGAATGGTTTTAGCCGTCTCCCATATATAAGTGTGACTTTGAGTCATTGTTAGGCATTCTTCTCATTCACATTTGTATAGTTCTACCAGCCACACTCAAATACTATTCTCATTCACACTTGCATAACTCCACCTTTCTCAAACACTGACTTGAGCCTTTGATTGTCTATTTTGTCGATATTCCAACTCTTTCTCTACAATCCTAAAACTTGTTATTATATAATACTAAGGAGATGTTATCAAATCATATATTTATTAAGATATTATTCTAAAAATATTTATTCTAACTTACAAATAAAAATTTATATGACAAAAGACATATTAATGGATCATGCTCAATCAGTCTAAAAATATAAGGAATAAAACACATTTTTCTTGTCCCAGATTAAAAAAAAAAGTCAACTTTGATCTTTTTAAAGGTGAAATTAATTGTAAAATGCATTAAATTCTCTCTCTCTCTCTCTCTCTCTCTATCTATCTATCTATCTATCTATCTATCTATCTATCTATCTATCTATCTATCTATCTATCTATCTATCTATCTATCTATCTATCTATCTATCTCTACCAAAAAGTTTTAATCCAAATGATTATGTTTCAAATATAAGTTAAGAAAGGCTATATACCATTTTTCATCCATTAACTATACCTCTAGGTATATTTTGGTCCCTTATCTTTTAAAAGGACCAATTTAATCTCTTATTTATTCAAACTGTGTCATATAAGTTATTTTCGTCTAATTTCCACTAACGGTGTTGATTTTTGCACGTGTGGCATCCTACTTCACATCTTGTCATCACATTCTTTATTTTTTTTAGTTTCTTCTTTTTTTTCTTCTAATATATGAACCCTAATCGAATTAGGTCATGAACGTCAATAGCCATCTCCGCCATACCTTAAATTTGTAAAATACTTTATTGAATCAAAGGAAAGAATGAGTTTTGAGCATTATTCATCCATAGCGAAAGAGAAAAGTTCTTAAAGTTTTAATTCCAAAATATAAAACAACTCTAATCTATGATAGAGACCCCGTTGTCGTTGTGGAGACGTGGATCTTTTTCGCAAGGCAACAACAATTAGCAACTATTGAAAGCAATTTTGGAGATGTTCACACTTTAAGGTAAGCATTCATAATTCATCCTTCTAAAATATATTTAGAAAAAAAGTTGGTTTGTAGCATTGTAGTTTGGGCTGTTAATGTACATAGGGCTCTATCCAAACAGGCAGTGGGCTCTTTGATTGGTTATATGGAGAAGTGAAATATAAAAGGGATCAATTTTTTTATGAAGCAAAAATGGAGGTTGGAAAGGTTAACAAATGAAATTAAGAAGCATATGCATAATCTCCTAAAACATAGGAACACATTTGAGGAACAAAAGCACCAATTGTTAGAACTTGAACTGGATATGAAGAACATCATGAAGTGGAAGAAATTTTGAAAGATTTTGTTCTTTTTTTCTTTGCTTTGATATTCAAGCTCTTTTAAATTCAAATGTTAGTATGTTTCAGTTGTATTTTAATTAGTATGTATTTGTTCTTGTAATGATAGAATGTATCAGTCATTATTATGTTACTCTAATTCAATCGTGAATGGATTTATGCCAGAATTTTTGAACCACATTTATATTTTTACAAGATTTTGGTTTATACCAGACTTTTTAAAGCAATTATGTTTATGTCAAAGTTGTGTTTGAACTAGAATTATGCATCAGTTGAATGAATATTTAACATGGAAACATATTTAATAACATAGTTTGATTTATTCATACTAGAACGTAATTTTGTTTATACCAGAGTTTGATTTATTTATACTAGAACATGACTTTGTTCATATTAAAATTTGGTTTATAAACATGGCAATATATTTAACAATGGAACATAACTTTCTTCATCAATATTAAAAAAGAATATAACTTGTTCATTGACGTTCAAAAAGAACCCAACTTGTTCATAAACACATTAAATACCTAGCTTATTCTAATAGACATACAAAAAGTAAAATACTTGTTCAAACATACATAAATCATACAAGAGTATAAAAAAATAAACTGATTGGTCTTCTTTTTTGGAGTCATTCTCCTTGTAGTTGACCTAATTGTATTCTTTGCAGCACTCAATCTAATAGTAGAACATGGGGATACATAAGATATTGGTGTCCTTCTAACATTAAACTTAATTGCCCTTCTTTGACATGGTTTAAATGTTTGACTTGCTTGAGATTGTTAACCTGCTTGAGTTTGCTGACTTATTTGAGTTTGTTGATTGCTCTGAATTTGCTGCTTGAGTTTGCTGACTTATTTGAGTTTGTTGATTACTCTGAATTTGCTGACTAGGTTGGTTACCCCAAGTTTGCTGACCGGATTGATTGTCCTGGAATGAGACCTCTTGTCTTCAATTTCTTCTTTCACAAGTTGGACATTTAATTTAACTGATTACTCATAATTTGTTCTTAAAATTTCATACATACAAAAATAAACACCGTTAACTAGAATTAGACAAAAATGACTTATATGATATGGTTTGAATAAATAAGAAATTAAATTGGTTTTTTCAAAAAATAAGAGATCAAAATAAACTTAAAAATATAGTTAAAAGACAAAAAATAATATTTAACCTTAAAAAATATATTTATTACTTAGACACCCCACTAATTATTGAAACACCTCACTAGAAAACTTAATTACTACAAATCACTTTGAACCAATCTTTTCATCTTGGATTCAGTATCAAACACCTTTTTCCCGTACTGATCATCCATCTATCAACAATTCTTTGTTTCAATACAGATTCCTTGTTTTAGTATGAAATAATTTCACTTTCTTCCATTTGTTTTACAATATCCAAAATAGCATTAGGGTAATTTTATCCAACTTTTTGTGATAGAAAATAAAAAATTCACCTTTTATTTTTTATTTTGCTTTTCTAATTTCTAATGTTTCCTCCACATGAGATAATCTAAGTCGTGGAAGACTAAACTCTTTTTGTAGACTCGACCATGGTGAATGGTAGTCATGACCCTAAATATTTTTAAAATGTAACAAAATAAAGGCTAATAGCCCCTAACAGACATAGAAATAAAAACTCCAATATATATAACATATGAGTTAAACTTTTTATATACTATTTATTTAAGTCCATTTTAATCTATTCTAAAGTTTAGATACAGAATCCTTCCTTCATTAAGGCGCACCCTGTTTTGATTGGTATTATGTATAGAAAGAGAACATATAAATAGCAACTGAGTAAGTTACACTAGCAAACTCATATACATTATCTACTACACCTTCAAATTCTTCATAATTTCTTGTTCCAATTAATAATAACTATGTTGTTATTCTCTAGTAATTTTGTTGCTGAAAAATGGTTAGGATTTGTGACAGCCATTTGGGTTCAAGCAATATGTGGAAACAATTATACATTTGCAAACTATTCTGATGTGTTAAAGTCTCTAATGTTTCTGACTCAGATGCAGCTTAACAATCTCTCTGTTGCTAAAGATGTTGGCAAAGCTTTTGGTATTTTCTCTGGTCTTGTTTCTGATCGTTGGCCTACTTCTGTTATTCTCATCATTGGTGTTATCATGGATTCATTGGTTATGGTGTTCAATGGCTTGTTGTTTGCCAAAGAATCACCCATCTCCCTTATTGGCTGGTAATATTGCTTTCTGAGTGTATTCTTGCACGACACGACACGACACGGCACTAACACGTCTATTACGCCAGACACACATTTGTTCAGAGGTGTTGGTGCTACAGACCTAGATGAAAATAACCAATTTAATCTGATTACTTTTGAACTATTTTGCAGATGTGTGTATTCTTATGTATGGGAAGAAACAACTCAACATAGATGAATACAGCAGTACTAGTAACTTGCATGAGAAACTTCTCGAAAAACCGCGATCCGGTTTCTGGTATTCTTAAAGGCTATGTAGGACTCAGCACGACAATCTTCACTGACATATGCACATCAATTTAGATGTAGAAGTGTTAGATTATGTAGATATTCTTTTAGAATCTTTGATAAACGAACCTTAACTATAGAAGAATCTTATATGTTATCTTTCATAAAGTTAAGATGTAGAAGTGTTAGATTATGCGGGTATTCAGAATAAGACTTTGTTTGAAGACCAAGATCAAGACAAAAATTAAAATCAAGATCAACACAAAAATCAAGACCAAGATCAAAGTAAAGAAAAAGTCAAACTGGAGATTAAAAAGATTATGTTGAAGAAATTAGCAGATGCAATCAAGATCAACCTAAGAAATAGAGGACAACAAAATATCATCCAATCTCAAACGTCATACGTGATATTTCTAAGGGGATGACTACTCGACACTCCCTTAAAAAGGCATGTAACTTTATGACTTTCGTTTCTTAAATTGTAATTCAATTGAGAAAGTGAGAGGCTTATGTTAAGGTTGTGTAACTCTATTGTTATGGTGAAATTGTAATTCAAGAACTTAGTTCTCTTGTGTATCTATAACTAACTTTGAAATTGCAAGGTAAACTTGATAAAAAGCTTTGTGTAAGAAATATTTTAGAGTTGATTTTAGTGTAAAAGTTCAAGTTGTTGTTAGTGAAAATATTAAGAAGAAATTCTTGGAGATTGAATTAGGCCACATGGTTTAAGGTCTAACTAGTATAAATAATAGTGTGATCTTTTTATCTTAATTATCTCTTTATTTTCAGTTATTTATTTTCCACTTTTTAATCTCTTCTTCTTTTATTTTCTTAAAATCAATCCTTTTGAGAAAACTTTTCAAAGCCCAAATAACACAATTCAATCCACCTCTGTCACTCATCCCTTCTCTCCCCATTTTCCCTTTTGTGTTTAAAGTCATTTGAGCAATACCTTATAGACATTCGAGTTCTAAGGAGGAACCATTGGTTGTTGGGGAGAGATTGGCGCTTCCTGGGATGAAGGTGTATCATTTAGTCTTTTTTTTTTTTTAAGGATTTGACGTTACCATCATGGCCATGCTAACGAGAGCAAAATGGGATAAGATATTTCTTGTGGTTGTAGTTGTCATTGTTAGATTCACCATAAAATCTAAGTTTTGATTGGAAACATATAAGATGTTTCCCACAAACGACACATATTTTTTTTAAGTGTTGTTATTTAGTACGACAAACCTTCGTGTATATGCTTTATGATAAGGGTGTATTAAGTGTATCTATATTTACTTCGACGTTCAAGTCTGATAAGTGTGAGATTTAAGATTTAGAATAATATATACATGATGTGAATTGTTCTTTAGAATTAATAGTCGGGTTTCATAATTTAGATGTCCTAAAATTTATTTTAGAGATGTATTTAATCACAATTATTAAAAAAATTTAAAAATATTAATTTTTTATTTTAATTAACTATAAAGTCATACGTATCAATAGGATCAACCAAAGATCAAGCTGTTTAAATTAGAATTTTAATGTTCAAAATTTTGAGCCGAAAAACTTTAAGAATTTTAATTTAATTATAAATGTATAACATTAAGTCCAACATCATTGTGAATGATGTGAATTTGAATATGACGAAAAATGTAAATTTCTTTATCTTCACTCATCCCACACTCAGGCACTTTCAAGTTACTACTTTTTATCACTACCTTTTGTCATCTTTCTTTTGATTGCTATGTGAAAAAGATTGCACTCTATCCTTTCTCATGACATATCGCAAAAGGGTTTGAAATAACTTCAAATTTAAATAATTTATTAATATTAAGATATTCAAAAAAAAAAATTATAGCAAAATAATGAAATAGTTTAAATAATATATTAAAAATAATTATTTATACCAATTTTTCATTTAAAGATTTTATAAAAAAATAATAATTTTTTTAAACAAAAATTTATAATAGTATAATTTTTTTTTTTTATAAAAAAAAAAGCTGAAACATACAAATCCATAAAAAAAATATAGATTGTGATTCTAAATCTTCCACCACTGATTAAATTTGTGATGGCTTTGCTCGCTAATAAATCCCGAATGCGGAGAAAAAAAACAAGATAATTATTAGTGATTTGACTACTATCCAATTAAGATGTACTTCACAAAATCCACTAATTTATTTTCTAATTCTACGCTGTTGGGGTGACTTGTTTCTCAAGGTAATGAAAAACAAAAGAAGATGAAAAAAATAAAATAAAGAGATACAAACCAAATTGAATGAAGAGAAATTTATATTAAATAAAAATGTTAATTGAATTACATGCTTGACACCTACATATGTAATTAGGAAGCCAATAAAACTAATTAACTTTTGTTAGAAATAATTTATATTTTATCAAATTTAATGACTAAATTTTGTTAAAGGATAATTTAGTATTTTAGTATGTTGTCTATTTGATTCTAATTTTCCGTGCATAAATAGATTAGTGGTAAATGTCATTTTGTAATTCTTCCTTACAACTTTGTAGTTGTCATTTGCATAATATAAACATATTCTCTCATTCTATTTCTTCTCTTTTAACCTTGTGCACCAACAATTGGTATCTAGAGCTCCGCTCGGATCCACAGAGAAACACGGGAAACACAAGTGAAACGGTGAGGCGTTGTGTGGTTGATTTCGTTTCTTGAATTCGTGTTGAATCTTAACGAATTCGTAATAGAATCACATTTTTCGATTCTGCGGGATTGAGAAACACTGTGTTTGGTGAGATCTGAGTGATTGCACAAGGTTGAAGATGAACAGAAACAGTGGTCTGAGCACCAAGCTTCTAGTGTTTGATGGAAAAAACTGGACTCGTTGGATGATTCAGATGCGTGTACTATTCGGTGCTCAAGATGTGTTTGATCTTGTCACTGAAGGTTACGTTCCAGTAGCAACAAATGCAACGGAGGAACAAAAGAACGCGTAGAATGATCCAAGGAAGAAAGATCATAAAGCATTGTTTTACATCCATTAGTGCGTGGATGCAAATGTGTTTGAGAAAATCGTTGATTCAACGACGGCGAAGGCTGGGTGGGATACACTAGTCAGGTGCTATGGTGGTGACACATCAGTGAAGAAGGTGAAGTTTCAGTCCCTACGAAAGCAGTATGAGAATCTTAACATGAAGAACAATGATAAGGTATCTGAGTACATCTCTAGAGTGATTATTGAAATTCTGGTATGCAGATCTCATATGTCCCAAGAACATTGATCTCTGCTCAACAAGGACGAGGACATACCATGACTAATTTAAATTCCTTTAAATTGTACCAATGTCATGATGTCTGTTGTAACATCTGCAGACTGACAGACCTATTTATCTCACCATTTAAGTTGTGCAGAATTGTAAATGCTAAAGGATAAATAGCACAATGAATTATTAATCCAGTTCGGTGCAACATCACCTACATTTGGGGGCTACCAAGTCAGGAAGGAATCCATTATTAGCAGAATTAATTCAGAGCTAAACTCCCCCGTTTACAACCCCTCACTTAATCTCTACCCAATGCAACTTCGACCTAGAGACACTGTAGACCTGAGTATGCCCACTCACTCTCCACAATCACCACAATGATAAACAATTCAATACATAATGAGACGTTAGAAGACACTCTTCAAAGTCACAACACTTGATCTTGCTTAACAACTTCAATCCAGGACAATGAACACAACAGTTCATACACACTAACCAAAGCAACTATACAACATACAATTGCTTGACACACAAGAAATCCTAAGACTCCTACACACGTGAAGAATCACTGCATACCACAGAATTTTCCACTCACAAATATGTCTACCGCAATGTATCAAAAGATACAAAGGCTGACTTACAAACACAAGGGACTCTCAAACCCTAGACTTTTATTTTACACTTAAGTTGTTCTTGATGTGAGTGCTTGATTTTTCCTTGCTTCTTCTCCTCCCTTTATAGCAATGCAGACTAGGCTTGGGCTGGCCACAAGTAACAAACTTTAGGTTAAACAGAGTTAAACCACTTTCCATAGTTCAAGGTGCTGTCAAATTAGGTCACAGTTGCTTCATGTTCTGTCCAGCCCTGACTAGAATCTCGCCTGAGATAACTAAGGAGCCATAACAGGTTTCTTGAATTCAAGCCTGAGATGTCTCAGGTATCATAAAAGAAAAACAAACCCTGCACGCCTGATGTCATACGACCAATGTCATAACATTCAGTCATGACATTCAGCTTCACTTACTCTCAGCTTTCCAGCTGGCCCTGCTAAACACTTCTGCATAATCTTCTTCATGACAGTAGAAACAAGCGTATTATAGTTTTCTAAAAAGTCTCAAAGATCCTTTTTATGAACACCAATTAAATCTGCATTTTGTTCCTAATGAATCACTTTGGCCTGTACATACTGATGAGAAATATCCAACAGGACCAAAACACTTATGTCAAGAGATATACCATAGCAGCCCCTACTGTACCAAACATTGATGTCATGACATTCAGTATGACATCCATGACAGCAGTTCTATCATCATCTCCTGCTAGCTCCTGCTGCACCAGACACTGATGTCATGACATTGGCAATGACATCCTGTTTAAAACACATGACAGCAATTCTGTCATCTGCTCCTGCTAGCTCCTGCTGCACCACAACTCCTGTTGTTTAAAACACATGACATCAGTTCTGTTACCACAGCTACTGCTGTATCAGACAGCGATGTCATGACATTATGATTAAAAACACATGAC